AAGACGGCATTAAATACTCGCGTCACTAATCTTGCACCAATCAAAGTAATTTTAATGTAAGTTTCCTTAAGCGTTTCAAATTAAAAATATACACTCATACACTCATAGCTTCAAATTAATTAAATTGAAACAGTATCACAGTTATGTGGGTATCAAACCCTACAACTCGCAGCTCTGATCAGCTATAAGCTTTGTAGCGACGAGCGGCAAATAGCGCTTAGGGATATTGACTAGCTGGCGCTGGTATATCTAGGGGGTTAGGTCCTATATTAATATAGGAATTACTAGATACTTATTATACGTGTCTCTTTCATACCTATATCCATTATACCTATACGTATTTACCCATTTATCCCTATTTTACCTCTTATACCTATTTTACCTATTATACCACCTATTTTAACTATTATACCTATACCCTAGCGGGCGCTGCTATATCTATGGCGTTAGGTGCTATATTATGGTCATGGAGCTTTAATTTATTGGTGATACTAGGGACCTATAATTATACAGTATGCAGAGTTATCCTTATCTGTAGTTATCAGAGCTATCAGCGGCTCGCTGGAAGAGGATCACGTTCAAGAATTCTGAAGAAAATCAACGCAATATAAAGCACGTCTTTTATGAATGCGCCAATGATATCGATTAGATAAAAGTATTCTTTGAAACTCTAAAGCTTGAAGTCTCTTGGATTATTTGATATGGAAAATTTCTCAGAAATTTCATGCATGTAGGTGGAATTATTGTGTAATATAACTAGTATTTAATAAAAAACATATATGATTAAAATTCGTTTAGCTTGCGTACACATTGTCTTTAGCGTGCGTACAAAATGACTTTAGCGTGCGTACAAAATGACTTTAGCGTGCATACAAATTGACTTTAGCGTGCATACAAATTGACTTTAGCGTGCGTACAAAATGACTTTAGCGTGCGTACAGATTGACTTTAGCGTGCGTACAAATTGACTTTAGCTTGCGGAAAAGACGATATATTGACGGATCAACAATAATGGACAAAACCATATATGCCCAGTAGTCAGTCAATCTTCAGTAAGGTCGTAACAAGTATTTTCACTCAGACTTCAGTCAGAGTGCACGCGCCATGTATATTAACTTAGACTATACAGTTTCGATTCATCACTGTTTCTACACAGTTTTCAATCGGATCATACGGAGTATTTTTGCTCAGACTTTAGTGAAGACTTTGGTCAGGACGAACTCATTCGGGAAGTGATGCCTTCATACAAACGGGCACAGTCTAGATGGCATCATGTAATGTGGAAGCTATAAAAATATAGTTTGTGAGAATTGTGATTCAATATGACCGGTACATTTGAGAACTCATTCAACCATCAGGACCCATAAATGAAGTTCATGTACCTGTTAGAAAAATAAGTTTCTCTGCCCAATATCTTATCCTTTATTGGAAGCAACATATCTTCATTTTTGATATTGAAGAAGTATGGCATGTGCGCCCTGACCATTATCTTATTTATATTTATTTTCTTATTCTCTCATTATCCTCTGAGACATCGATTATTGCCTGTTGCTTGGAGGCTGTTTCTGTGCCTTCGTAATTTATCGTCAGATATTGCTGGCATTGATGATAATATTGCTTCCAATGGGAGATAAACGAGCCTCGGATGTAGGTGTTTGTCTAATGTTCTGTGTTTGTCAATATTTATTATATTGTGCTATAGCTTTGAAGTTTTATTTTCCCTCTTAATTACCGACATGGTATTGCTACAGAGCTGAAGTATAATAATTTATTCCAATGCATTGTTTTAGGTAAGAAAAAGGAACGAAAATTTTGAAAAATTAAAAAATGTTATATCTATACACACAAATGCCAAAAAATGAGCATGAGTAGTTAGTGTGATGCTCATGACGGAGGATTAAATATTTGGGCGTGAAATAATAAGTGAAAATAATCGTTAAAAAATATTACGTGATTTATTAACTTCATTAATATTTGAATCGCGCAGAAAAAGGTGTACTTTCCCTTGAGTATATCCGCATCACAGCAAGGTTGCCTGGAAAACAAATTGCCTGGAAAATTCGTAAATGGGTTTCCTGAAGATAGGCATAGGTTTGGGGAAATTCTAGTGAGATGGAATCCTGGCTTCCTGTGGATATATTCGTAGATGTTAATCAAAAAATGTCTGTCTGACAGAATCAGAGCTGCCATAATAAGTAAAACATAACTGAAAATATAAGCTTCCATATGTGCATCGTTCCATCATATATATGAATTACTTCAGACAGAAATTTACAAAAATGAGCAATCTCACGACATAAATGAATAATTGCATGACTTCTTCACTTGTAGAAGTATGATGCATTTCAAGCTGTTCTGAAAGCTTATTCATATGCCTAAGAGATATGCGATGAAATTGGAAGCCTCAAAGCAAATGTGGTTCCTTGATTCCGGTAAAAGAATAGAGGAGTGCTCGTTCACGACGCATTGCGCTCTTCAATCTTCAGTACTGTTATGAAATTATAGGGTGTAAAATGGTTTATATAATAGTTCACGTTCAAGTTTCAATATGTTCAATTTATGCTAAAATTTAATAAAACACATAACTACGATGCTTAGATAATTTAGATGATGTTGAGATGTTCAGTATGGTTTATAGTTTCGATTGTAGGCCGGCGACTATAGTGCTGCTGGCAGCATTAGTGACGGTGATAGTGGAGGCAAAATAAGGAAGTCAACAATCGCCTTTATCTTCAGTTCAAAATGTGAAAATCATGAAGTTTGAAATTTAAGTTATTCTTAATAGTCAAATGTATTGAACATTGCATTATTTTTGGTGACGCGCGTGGGTTCTGTTATGGGCTTGTGTGAAGGTTCAGTGATGTGTTCATTCAAATGTGTTAGTCATTATTGTATACTTATTATTCACAAGTACATAACCGTATTCACCAATAATGAAACGTCAAGTAGAATATTTAATTAATCCTAATTAATGGGCACTCTCTCGGACGAGCTATGAATGAGTATAATTAATAATGCAAACAACTTTAACAGCGTTATTTTTGCTCCATAAAATGATGTGAAAATAATTGTTGTCAGCTTTTTGGGGCTCTTACATAAAGTACACACTAAATTTTGTGTGGAAGTCATTTTGAGTGCGTCCATACAGACAATATGCCTTTGAGCGCCCCGTTTCATGAAACTCTTATCCTCCTTCTTCCCATCATCCCTCCGTATGAGTTGAACTCTTACCCTCCTTCTTCCCATCATCCCTCCGTATGAGTTGAACTCTTACCCTCCTTCTTCCCATCATCCCTCCGTATGAGTTGAACTCTTACCCTCCTTCTCCCCTTTGGTAAATAGGTAAAAACTCATCAAAATAAAAGTTTAGTGATATTTATTAAACCATATTCATTTTGTTGTTACGAGGTCGTTTGGATTGTTACATGGATTCTCACCGAAGTTAACGAAAACGTCTCATTCAAATAACCATGGTAACTTTCTTTAGTAAAAATTGCAACACTTAAATACAAGCATTTTATGAATGTTTAGTCTCATGTAAGGGTCATGTATAGGAGTTGCGCAAATACCACTATAAATATACTTACAATGATACTGCGTACCATTTGCTATTAAAGTTGAGCATTTGTATTTGCCTGTTTACTATAATATAAATCATCATTTATACAATCACTGTAATAATAATTTAAATCATTTAACTAAATCAGCATGATAATAATTCAATGGGTCTAGTCTGATTTTAATATTACAAATTATTAAGCGAAGTTCAATGCATTGTTACAGGCTACATTTTATCCCTGAAAAAATTTCTACAGGAAAAGAATGACATGAAATTAAGAACATTTCTTAACCTTTCTTAGTGAATTTCTGACATGCAAATTTCCACATCGACTGGAATACTACAATGATTACATAGTATCATGAACGTATAGAATTTAAAATGCTATAATCTAGCTCTTGTAATTCAAATATTTGCATTAAAATAATTATTCATGCGGTAGTGAAAGGAAATATTTATACTAAATTGTGTTGTTTATGCATTCATTACCTTTATATTTTAAAACATAATCACTGTTATCTCTTCTTAATCAACCTAACGCATGACGCTCGAGTGCGAACAGCTTAACAATATTTATTACATGAATATTTTAATACATGAAATTGTGTATCGTTAGTCTCGACCCTTCAAGAGCCACCGCAGCCCCAGACCAGGACTTTGAAAGTTTGAAAGAGACCGCCAAGTGGACAGGGAAGGAGGAATGTTTATCCTGTTTATATATAAACAGCCTATGGCTGTTTATTGCCATAGGGCAGGCTGTTTATTGCCATAGGGCAGGCTGTTTATTGCCATAGGGCAGGCTGCTCCCACACGGCAGTACGACAACGGGAGGTCAGGTCTTGCGTTAATCTACGGAAGTTTCACATGCCTTATGGTTTTAATTACTTATATCTAATACTAGAAGAATGGTTTAGAAATGCTCGGTATAGCGGTCAAAGATGAATAAATAATAAAACCAAATAGTGTCGCGGAAATATAGGAAAAGTCGCAGGTTTCACGATCCTCATGATTCCATATTTTTGTTCGTGTTAATAATGATAATACAAAGTTAAAACAATTTATCCTAATGACTGTTAATCTGTTCATTTGAATCATTTACTCAGGATAGCATTCCAAATTTCAGACTTGCATCCTATAAAGGATGAGAGTTATGCGTCGAATGCACAGTCATGAAACGCTATAGGCGACTCGCGGCTGACAGCTTTGATGTTCGCTCTCAAAGTCATATCTTTTGCTAATTCAACCAGAAATGAGAATAAGGAAGAAAATGCTCTGTATATCATGGGTTATTGACAAGTTAGGATCTAAATAATTTCATATAATTAAATCTATTCCTAAATTCTTAGTATACGATATTGATTTATTTTTTCATGTATACGAACAACTGCATGCAAAATGCTAAAAATAAATTAGGAATGACAATTAAAATAATATAATTTTTTTTACAAATTTGTCTTATAAAACGATTTAGAACAGAAACTTGAATAAATATCGGTACAAACCATGTCAGGTGTCAACCTCGAATTTTTTAAATCACAAATTTTTATCATGACTGTAAGACAATTGAAGTTACGCAAATAGGAGTAAACAATTTCATATACCATTCAAGACGCCATTGCCTGCAACCATGCAGCAATCGCTTCCAATCTGTCAGCTACAATCTTCACTACAAGAACAATCGTCGTGAGTATCGCAGCAATCTCCATCATTGTCGCCTTGTGGCCTGAAAGGGTTACTGTGAGACTGTCTTCTCGTAATTTTTCAGAAACTGACTCAAACCTTTCAGAAATCACTCACAGCTTTACTGCTATCGTCATCAGTGTTTCATTCATTGAAAAACTATCAATCCTTGTTTGATAAACATGAATACTGCATGAGTGATCGACATAAATCCCGCCAGGAATGCCACATTGATATTCGTGATTGTTATCAACAGGTCAGTGATATTTGTCAATTCTTTTGTGACAGCCAGCGATCCTGCACAGATCACACAGGCTTTTGCTCCCAGCAATACTAGCCATTTTGTCAACGATATCAACGATCTTTCTTCATTTGAGTTTAAACTTGCACCGAAAACCATCAACCATGCAACCAAGATCATCAATCTTGCATCAGCCGCCATCAGTGCTAATGTGAAGGCCACTAACCCTAAAGCGATCGACAGCCATCCTTCTTCGAGACATCCTGCAACACATCCTGCAGCAATCAACATCCATCCTACATGGAACATCAAACATCCTCCAGGGATCACCAACCATTCGCCAGTGATCATCAGCCATCCTCCAGCGATCATCACCCATCCTCTGTCGATCCTAGACCGTACAAAAGACATCAACACCCATACTCCAGTGATCATCACCCATCCTCCAGAGACCATCATCCATTCTCTAGAGATCATCATCCATCCTCCAGAGATCGTAACCCGTCCTCCAAATGTCGCCACCCATCCTCTAGCAATTGTAACCAATCCTGCACAGATAGCAACGATGCTTATTTCATTTATATATAATCCATCTTTATCTACCATCAATCTTTTTATGATCAATCTTTTTATGATCGCCATCAGTATTGCCAGCACGAAAAAAAATAGAGGAAAGGACAGTAGTCCCCCCACTCTCGCATCGGCCTCCATCAGTGCTACTGGGAAGGCCACCGATCCTGCAGCAATTGACACCCATCCTGCAGCAGCGATCGAAATGCATCCTCCAGCAACCGCCACCAATCCTGCAACAAACCCTGGATTACTAGGATTCATTTAGATAATTTTAAGAATTTTTCCCGTATATTTAACCCTCTACCGCCGTATATCACTCTCCGGGAACATAACTTTCAACTTATATTATATACGTAAACTATTGAGTGTAGCGCCCCCTGTACGTTTGTACGCAGCAGAGAACATTTTAAAGTTGTCGTACGTGACGGCAACCATCAGTGCAAGTCATTTTGCAAGTCTAGAACGTATCCTTTTTGGGAAGTAGGCTTGTGACAATTTTACTCCGGTTACTCATGTCAGGCCGTAAAGGGTTATAGGTGATATGGATGTGAAAATCTCAACATTGTGTCCATGTCAGTCTAGTGATTAATGAGCTGCAAAGGTTGTGAAGAAATAGGCTCGACAGAGACGCAGAGATGATACAGGCCCCCTAGTAAGTATAGAACACTGCAAATAGATACTCAGTGTAGGGATGGACTCAGTGTGGGGAAAAAATCACTCCACAAAAATAAAAACAATAAGTCAGTATTCGCACTCGGAATATGTGGATGTAGTACAGAAAAATACGCAGCGTAAGAAGGAAGTATATGGACTCAGTCTTGTGAGAGGAACTTGGTGGACGCTGAACAAGTTTTTACAGTCACGGAATGTCAAATTCACATGGCATGGCGAGTTACGTTCATGCCTCAATAATGTTGCCCTCTAAGCATGACTATAATGATCCACATTTATCTTGATTAATATATAAGACACTTTAAAAACTCCGCAATTGTCATTTGGTTGAACAACTTCACGCACCTGGATGTGCCATCACCAGACCTTGGACTTCTTAACTGAGCTTCGGGCAAAATAATATATGTTAAGAGAGCAAATCTTGAAATATCAACGACAGAAACTTGCAACTTGTATATGTCCTGGAGCTCTGACTTGGTGATACTAGGGACCTAATTAGCAGCATGCACAGTTTTAAGGGCCTTATCTGTAGTTATTAGAGCTATCAGCGGCTCACTGGATGAGGATCATGTTAATGAATTCTAAAGAAAATCAGTGCAATATAATGCATGTTTTTTACGAATGTACCAATGATAACGATTAGATAAAAGTATTCTTCGAAACTCTAGAGCGTGAAGTCTCATGGATTATTGGATATGGAAAATTCCACAGAAATTTCGTGAATAGTTCTAATTATCGTGTAATATAACTAGTATTTAATAAAACATATATTATCAAAATTGATTTTAGCGTGTGGAAGTAAAATTTTTTGTCGAATCAAGACTAAGGTGTGACCGACTCCTATTCGGGAGTTGAGACGACATCTACAACCAGACTTCGGGAGGAGCAAACTGCCTTAAATGAATATGTGACAACGAGAGGAGCAGGAGCTCTAACACAGATTACACCATACATGTCAGTAGTCAGTGGCCCACACGTACCCACTAGTCAGAGGCCCACACGTACCCAGTAGTCAGATGCCCACACGTACCCAGCAGTCAGTGGCCCACACGTACCCAGTAGTCAGAGGCCCACACGTACCCAGTAGTCAGAGGCCCACACTTACCCAGTAGTTAATGGCCCACACGTACCCACTAGCCAGTGGCCCACACGTACCCAGTAGTCAGTGGCCCACAGATACCCACTAGTCAGAGGCCCACACGTACCCAGTAGTCAGAGGCCCACACGTACCCAGTAGTCAGTGGCCCACACGTACCCAGTAGTTAGTGGCCCACACGTACCCACTATAGTCAAGGTGTCATATGTACCCACTAGTCAGGGACTCACACGGACCCGGAGTCACGAGCCCAAAAGTACCTGCATTCGGTGCCGCACATGTATAAATATAATCCGTAGTCAATTGCCTAATATTTCTGGCGGTGGTCCTGGGCCGAGTACATTGTAAGTCTCCTCGTTTTGGAACTTTACTATAGGATCTCGAGGCCCATTTTCAGGCATGGATCTTAGTATCCTTAGCATTTGTTTCGGACGTAGCAGTCCCAGGCCACGATGGATCGCCGCCTCTGATTATCGTTCATCCGCCCTCATTTGGGCCACCTGATGCACGATGCTGTTGCTTGCTTCTCGCCGCTGGTAGTGTTGCAGGGGAGGTCGATCTGGGATTGTGCCCAGGAAAACGTCCAGTTGTCTCTTGAAGATCTCCAGGGTGAAATCCCCCTCTCTTAGATCCTGGTAGGACGTTAAACAGACGTGCATTGACGAGCTTATTATTTCATTATTTAAATACATTTTTATCTAGTGATTTTTCTCTTGGAATTTTGGACGATGCAAATGAATAAAATATCTAGAGGCAATTTATTTATTATAAATTTCGGGAATTAGATTTATATAAATGACTTTGAATGAATACATTTTCTCTGTGACATGCAGTACATGCGAACTATATAAAATCCGAGTTGTTAAAAAATGTAAAAAATCCAAGTTCACGGACTATTAGCTAAGCTAAGTGGAGCGACAATTTTTAAAATTTTATTAATTTTATTAAAGTTAATTTAAAATTTTGTATTTTAAAATTTTTATTTTACATTTTTTTATTTTAAATAGGTTTTCTAATATGAGAGCTTCAGCATTTGCATGCACCCCCTCCCTGACCCCCTCCCTGACCCCCTCCCAGACCAGCCTTCCATGTAAGCCAAGCAGCCGGCAACTGGTTTATTGCATGGAATTATTTTGCATTTAAACCTGGTCTAAAACTCACATCAATAGAAGCTCAATTCATTGAGCTGTATTTTCATTAAAAGGGGTTTAGCCCAAAAGCAAAAACCTCGAAATCTTCTTCCTTTTCGAGATATTTGCCTTTTAAGTTTTCAGTCAGCAGGGTTCTGAAGCTCCAGCGCACAATTGCTGATCTTAATTAGAAAACTGGACGGTGCGTGAACGTATCATCTCGCATTTATCTAAATAGTTTTATTAAATTTAAAAATAAATTGAACATATTGAAACTTGAACGTGAACTATTAAATAAACAAATTTCCACGCTAGAATTTCGTGACCTTATTGAAGACTGAGGAGCGCAATGCGTCGTACCATAAATTTACAATTAAAAATTCATGCAGTTATTGACTTAATTCGTGAGATTGCTCATTTTGTGCATTTTTGTCTAAATAACATTCAAATATGTGATGGAACGATGCCCATATGGAAGCTTATATTTCCAGTTATGTTAGACTTATTATGGCAGCTCTATATCTGTCAGACAGACATTTTTTGATCAACATCAACGAATATATCCACAGGAAGCCAGGATTTTATCTCAATGGAATTTCCCCAAATCTTCATCTTCAGGAAACCACAGGTACAGGTACAGTACAGTACAGAACAGTACAGGTACAGGTACAGGTAACCCATTTACGAATTATCCAGGCAATTTGTTTTCTATAGGCAACCTTGCTGTTACGGACATACTGTACCTTAGGAAAAGTTCCCCTTATTCTGAGTAATTCAAATACTAATAAAATTTATCAATGAGGTCATATTTTTAACGTTTATTATCGCTTATTAATTTTACACCCAAATAATTTTATCCTCCGTCATGAGCATCAGACTACCTTCTCATGCTCATTTTTTTTGGCATTTATGCGCATAGATATAATATTTTTCTGTTATTCTTAATTCTCGTGTCTCTTTTAACCTAAAACAATGCATTAGAAATAATTATTTCAGTTTAGCGCTCTGTAGCAATGCGATGTCGGTAATCAAGAAGGAAAATAAGACTACCAAGCGACAGCGCAATTTATGAAATATTGACTAATACTGAACATTAGACAAACACCTACATCCGAGGCTCGTTTATCTCCCATTGGAAGCAATATTATCATCAATGCCAGCAATATCTGACGATAAATTACGAAGGCACAGAAACAACCTCCAAGCAACAGGCAATAATCGATGTCTCAGAGGATAATGAGAGAATAAGAAAATAAAACAAATAGAAAACAACTTTTAAAAACCACGTTTTCTTAACGGGCAAAACAAAAGAAAAACATTTACTCTTACATAACATTTAAGTTATGTAAAATGTTATGTAATGTTATGTAAAAGTAAATGTTTTTCTTTTTTGCCCGTTAAGAAAACGTATTTTTTAAAAGTTTTTTATATGTTTTATTTCATTATTTTTAGTTTTGTAAAAACCAGAAAAACGTGGTTTTTAAAGTGGTTTTATATTTATTTATTTTCTACCTTTTAGTTTAGCAATTTTAGCAATTCAAATCAATTTCTAGGGTTGGCACGTCTCGATGTTCGAGAAAAAACTCGATTCCGGCCGTGAATTTTTAGGTTTTTTGAAAAAAAAATTTAATTATTATTTCTAATGATCAAATCTTGAATTGTTAGGCAGCATAAGCATGAATGCCAAATTTCGAGTTTCTAGGATGTTCAAAAGAGCTCTAAATTATAGTCTGAAATTTTGATGACAGACAGACACGAAACGAAGCTAAGAAAAACGTGGTAATAAATATAAATAAGAGAAATTTGCCTTAGTCAAGGTTTCTCTGTAGCTAAAAAAAAACAATTAATAAAATACGGGTTTGATGATAGGGTTCAATCCTGCTGAGGGATAATTAATACCAGGAGGAGAAATGTCATGACGAGGTAATATCTCATTATGCCTGGCAAACATGATCTTGTTTTAAGCCTGGCAATAATTCAAACCATGTGTCTCATACATTGCCAGTGCGCACCTGCCATACTTCTTCTAATATCAAAAGTGTAGATTTATTTTTTCCTATAAAGGACAAGCATTGAGCAGAAGAACTTATTTTTCCAACCGGTACGTTTACTTCATTTATGGATGCTGATGGTTGATTGAGTCCTCAAATATACAAATCATATTGAATTACAATTCTCATAAATTATGATTTTATAGCTCCTACGTATAGCTTGTTTTATATAGCGTTATAGCTTCCACATTTGTCCGTTCGCATGAAGGCATCACTTTTCTAATATTTAGTTCTCCCTGACTAAAGTCTGAGCAAAAATACTCACTACGGCCCGATTGAAAATTGAGTATAAACATTGATGAATCAAAACTGTATAGTCCGAGTAAATATAAAACTGTATAGGCCAAGTAAATATACATGGCGCACTCTTACTGAAGTTTCAGTGAAAATACTTCTTACGACTTGACTGAAGATTGACTGACTGCTGGGCATATACGGTTTTGTCCCTTAGTTTTGATTCGACAAAATATCGTCGCTTCCGCACGTTTAAACAACTTTGAACGCACGCTACAGTCAAACTGTATACTCACGCTAAAATGAATTTTAATCATATATGTTTTTCTTAAATACTAGTTATATTACACAATAATTGGAACTATTCACGAAATTTCTGAGAAATTTTCCATATCAATAATCCATGCGACTTCACGCTTTAGATTTTCAAAGAATATGTACTTTTATCTACTCGGTATCATTGGTGCATTCATAAATCACGCGCTCTATATTGCACGGATTTACTTCAGAATTCTTGAATATGATCCTCTTCCGGTGAGCAGCTGATAGCTCTGATCACTACAGATAAGGCCCTTAAAACTCTGCATACTGCTGATTAGGTCCTTATCATTACCAAGTCAAAGCTCCATGACCATAATATAGCACATAACTGCATAAATTAGTATTTATGTTCAATGTATACAATGGTCATAAATGTTCAATGTATTGCGCCCGCTAGGGTATAAGTAAGATAGGTATAATAGGTAAAATATGTATTGATATAATGGATATAGGTATAAAAAGGATAGGTAGGAAATGTATCTTGTAATAGCTATATTATATAATATTGCACCTAACACCATAGTTATACTAGCACCCTCTTGTCAATATTCTCAAGCGCCTACAAACCTTATATATAATGCCGGTCAGGACTGCGAGTTGTAGGTTCGATACCCACATAACTACGATACTGTTCTT